TTACTTTTTTAAATTTTTATTGACTATTTGCAATTTTTATACAATATAATTTGATGGTATTTAGATATGCTTTCCTATCCTCATACTCCCTTACTGCTCCCTCCCAATTTAATGCACTGTATATATATATATATATATATATATATATATAAAATAAGGCCTATAGAGTCTAGTTTGTGTCTCCACTAGAGCCTAGTTAACATACTAAGAGTCCCATACTTGAAAGAGAATGTCTCTGCTCCTCCCAGTAGTCAGATGTTTCCACAATTTTCTGGTTTAAGCTTTCATGGGACTTGTGCCTGCAGTCACCATTGCAGTGAGTTCATATGAATAACTGACCAGATGTCTGGAAAACGATTTCCTTGTGGTCATCCAACACCTCCAGCTCTTATTTAGAAAACATTTTTGTTTTTATTTTCACACATCTGATGCACATGAACAAGTTCAAAAGAATTTAACATGTAAAATATGCTTTACCTATAAAGGTGTGGCTATACAAATGCAGCCACAATTAGAGAAGTCAAGATTATCTAGTTTATTATAGGTTTTCTATATGGCTGTCCTATTAATAGCCCAAGAATCAAAAGCATTTCTTTTTAAATATTTATTATTTTTGTTTCATATGTGTTAGTGTATTGCCTGCATGTGGGTAAGTGCACCTTTGTCATGCAATGCCCATGGAGATCAAAAGAGAGTGTTGGATCCCCTGGAACTGGAGTTACTGATGGTTGTTAACTGCTGTGTGGGAACTGAGAATGAAACCCAGGTCCTCTGGAAGAACAGCTAGTACTATTAAACACTGAGCCATCTCTCCAGCCCCAAGAATCAAAGTATTTCTGTAGATAGGCTATGCTTCAACTTCATACTCACAAAAGTTAAGGTGACCAAATGTTGGTAGTAATTTGCTTCTATGATCATTCATAACAAGATTAAATATGGAGAAGAAATTAATTCAAATGATAATAAAATTTAGGAAAGTCACCTGGTTTTACTTTGAATTTTAATAAAAAATATTCTTACCTGGAGCCCATGAAAGGGAAAAAATAACCCCTTCGTTTCCAGGAGAAGTATACACTGCTGTTAATGTGTTTATATCCCAGACTTTTATAGTGCCATCAAATGAAGCTGTAGCTAAAAGATTTGGATTATCAGGATTGAATTTGCAGTCAAATATAGTTTCCACATGTCCCTAGAATTGCATTATGAGAAAAATCACGTTATGGAGGAAAATATATTTTCATTTTATTTTTTAAATTTGAAACGTGTGTATTGCATTTACAACATTCCTATCCCTCCCTCTGCCCCCTCCAACTCTTGCCATGTCCCCCTTACTTCTCATATTCATAAATTCTTCTTTAGTTATTATCATTTATATACTGAGTCAATTTAATGTTGCTCATATACACATGTATTTAGGACTGACCACGTGGAATCGGATCAGAGAGCTCATCTCTGAATAAAACTGACCCTCCCTCTCTCAGCAGTAACTGATTGCCTGCAGCTCTCCTAATTGTTAATGAGAAATTTCTTAACAGATCAATTCTTTAAAACATGATAATTATTTCCATTATAGGGAGATTTATATTCTACCCATAGGACTTTCAAGTAGTATTTCATTAATACATGTATTTGAACACACATGTGTAAATTGACATTTAACCACATTTGCCCATGGAAATATCTATTAAAATCCAACGTGACTAAATAAAGTCACATTTTGTCTTCTTTCAAATACTGGGGAATGGAAGTTGAAACTCCTATTCAAAGTAGAAAAAAGATGGGATGACATGGAGGAGAGGGTTGTAGGAGGTGGATTTGATCAAAACATATTATATGCATTTATGAAATTCTCAAAGAATTTGAAAAAGTCATAATATGTTGGCCTGCATGGAAGGATTTAAAATCCAAGGACAGGGTTTTCTAATCATCCATTAATACAGTCAAGACAGAGAAGGGAGTACTTTAAAATTTATGGATTTCCACTAATCCTAGAAATCATAACATATGAAAGTAAATTGTCTCTCCTTTAAGTGAAGTTAGGAAAATCAATCTCAGGGTTTAGAGTGCTGGAAAGAAGAGAATGTTATGGCTATTGGTTTATGTGACTGTAACTGTTTGAGGCCATCATGTGCAATGTTAAGAACACATTTAAGGCAACAGCTTTCAGTTTGTGCTTTTTTTTTTTTTTTTTTTTTTTTTTTTTTTTTTGTCTTTTTTGAGACAGGGTCTCCCTGTAGGCCCATTTCCTGGAACTCACTATGTAGACCAGGCTGGACTTGAACTCACAGAGATCTGCCTGCCTCTGCCTCCTGAGTGCTGGGATTAAAGGTGTGCGCCACCACGCCTGTCCTAGTTTTTACACTTGTAAAGGTCATTTTACCACTATATTTTCAAATTTCAGCTTTGAAAATGTGAAAAATCAGAAAGAATCATATTTCTTCTGTTTTCTTCATGCCAAGAGAAAGTAGACGCGAAAGAGATATAGCATTTTTCTTAATATTAAAGATTTGTATGGAATGCTTTGATTCCCAATATGGCAACATTCTGAAATAGGGTTTCTAGATGCTAGGTGAATACTGAGGGTCTGACCTCAGCAGTAGATAAATTTGTTGGTATTACTGAGCAGTGGTAGAAATTTTAGGCGGTAAGGACTAGTGAGAGGCTATAGGCCTGGGTCCATGTGGAAAAAGCGTCTATCTTGCCCAGTCCTCACTGTGCACTCTCTCTTCTTCCTGGCTGTCACAAAAGGAGTAAGTCCCTTGCCAACTCTTTTCCCTACTGTGATGTTCTGCCTCAGCACAGGCCCACACCAATGAAACAAGGTGATTATCTAAAACCAGGAACCAAGATAAACCTTTCAAACTGTTTATCTTCTTTGTTTTACTACAGTAATGACTAACACGTAAAATAGGTACCAGAAGAAGGGCCATGGAGGCTTTGACTCAGACGGTGATTATCTAAAACCAGGAACCAAGATAAACCTTTCAAACTGTTTATCTTGTTTTTTTTTACTACAGTAATGACTAACACATAAAATAGGTACCAGAAGAAGGGCCATGGAGGCTTTGACTCAGACTTCAAATAAAGGTCTCAGAGTCCCACAGTGTGGGGCAGAGTTGTGGTCTTTGTGGGCAGCCCCTCCCCTGAAAGAGGCTAGGAAAGTAGAGCCTAAACTGCAATAGTCATCTCAGGAACATGGAATGTCTGCTAGATAAGCTGCAGGCAGAAAAGAAGTCCAGTGCAAGACAGTGGCCATCAGTACAACAGAGATGTAACTGCTAAGTCCTTTGAGAACCATATTACATCATCAAATGTGTCAAATGGCTGAAACGGAACTATGGGATCTAATGCTGGCCCTGCTGGGTTATTTTTGCTTTGGTTGCATCTCTCCTCTCAATACTCTTATTCTCCACCTTAGAATGGGAATGTTTATCTGTACTCATCTCACCATTGCATGTTGGAAGTTTGTAATGTATTTATTGGTATTTTTACAGGGGATGACAACTAAGAGTGACCGTGAATCTCAGAAGAGATTTGAATTTGTACTCTTGAGCAATGTTGGTGCTTTTGAGACATGGAGGCTCCTGGAATAAATACATTGTTTTTATTAATAATGGACACCAGTCTTTGGGGTTCAAAGGTAGAAAGTTATTGTGCTACATGTTCCTGCTGTGACATTCTCCTCACCACAGGCCCAGAAACAGTGGAGTCGGGTGATTATGGCTTGAGAACTCTAATAATATGAGCCCAAATAAACCTTTTTCCTTCAAGTCCTCTCAGGTGCTTTGTCACAGAAACAAACTTATATAATCCTTTCTAGGTGAGATCACAGGAAAGCAATGGACACTTAAGCATGCTAAATGATAGCTTAATCTAATTCAAACTGTGGAAAATATAGAAAGTTCTTTATAAGGTCTGAATTATGAGGAGAACACAATAAGTATTAATTGCAATGCAAATCACAATATTATTTGTCTTCATTTACACAAGAAAGCAATAAATGTTTTCTATGGACCAGGTACTATGTTAAGTAGTGGGGATACAGCACAGAATTGAATGAGGCAAAAATGGAAAACCATAATGAGGCTGTTTGCATCATAAAAACAGGCTTCATCGTCACAGGAACAGATTCATAGAATTATAGAATTATAATAATGATTAACAGAAACAAATCTTAGAAAATCTCCAATCTAATCTTCCTCAATTCACTAATAAAATGAGAACTCTAGAAATGCAGTGACAGGAGAGATTGATGTGTCATGCTTTCTAAAAGAATGTTCAATTCATTTTGCTTCCAAAAATATATTGCTATGAACTTTTTTCCTTTTTCTTTTTCACTCTTGTGCTGGTGGTTAGATTCTGGGCAAACACTGCACCAATGAAGCACACGACCAGCTCCTGCTATGAATTTTTTCACTGCATAAAATATAAGCTTAAGCAGATGTTAATACCTAAAATTTTAACTTTTAATATATGAAAATTTTTAAGAGTTTTGTCATTCTTTGTGTTTAAAAAATTGTTTCAACCAGGAAAAAGTCCATATATCATTACCTACAAAATAATTTTAACAATAGTAATATGCAGGCACAAGTAAAGATCACAAGTTCATACAAAATAAGCATTGTGCATAATAGAAAAATAGAACATACCAGTTCTCTAAGAAAATCCCATTTCTTTGCTCCCATGTCATAAAGCCCAACACCACCATCCAAGAAACAGCATACAACATGACCAGGAGGAAGAGAATATCCCTGATTCTGTTTCAAACTCGGGGGTGGAATTGCTTCGCTTGTTGAGGATGTGTAATGATTTTTGTTTGGAGACTGGACTGAAACTACAAGCAAGGAGGAAAACAGCAAGCACGTGTGTCAATAGCTTCCCTTTAGAACAAAACCGCAGAACTCAGTTTATAAAGATACTTCATTGTTTTGTTTGTTTCTAATTCCAAAATCTATGTCAACAAGCACAATTTCAACTCTATGAGCACACCTGCAAAACTGCCAAAAATGTGGAAATATAAGCCTAAAACTTGATGCTATGTTGACGAGGTATAGAGAGGTACAGACAGAGCAACATCGCTGAAAATTAGTGAGGAATCACAGTCTGTTGACAATATGTGGTTTACTGGTCCACAAATTAAAGCAAGGTGTGATTTTTTAAAAAAATATAATCTCTTTTCAAAAATACGGACATGGGGAAATGAAGAGATGGCTCAGCAGTTAAGAGCACTTGCTGTACTGTTATGAGACTGTAGTTTGAATCCCAGCAACCACGTAACAAACTGGGTGTCTCACAAAAACCTATAACCCCAACTCCAATGAATCTGCTGTCCTCTTCTGGCCTACACACACAGACATGCATTCACAAACACATACACTCACATGTCTGTCTACATACCGATTGTGCTGGTTAACTGTAGTTGTCAACTTGGCATGCCTGGAAAGAGGGAACCTCAATTGGGGAATTTTCTCCATTGGATTGGCCTGTGGGAATGTCTATTGAGATATTTTCTTGATTGTTGAGTGATATGGGAGGGCCCAGCCCACTGTGGGTAGTGCCATCCCTGGGCAGTTGGGCCTGGGTAATATAAGAAAGGAGACTGAGCACAGGCCAGGAGAGCAGCCAGTAAGCAGCATTCCTCTGTAGTATTTGCTTCAGTTAGTGTCACCAGGTTCTCGATTGAACTCCTGATCTGGCTTCCCTTGATAAAGGACTGATAAGCTGAAATAAACCATTTCCTCCCCATGTTGATTTTGGTCATGGTGTTTATCACAATGATAGAAAATAAAGTAGGATACAGATACACACACACATACACACACTCACAAATCAAAATTGCATTTCAAAACCAGACCTATTAGCTTCCCTTCTTCTCCATATACAGCCACATACATATATGATGTTTTACCTGTCAAAGTAAATAAGTCTATGTCACTAATTTCCAAGTGAGTAAAAACAATTGTTTTTTTTTTCAGATTTGATGCCATGCTAAATTATTAATCAATTGCTTATAATTACATACTGAAATATGCATAACATTATTCAGCATTTCATTTTTGTTTATAATATAAAAAGATCCTTGTTCAATTCATTATGAATATTGTTCATGTCTCTGAATCTGAGAATGACAGAAAGGCCAAACTCAAATGAGTGATTGCTAATAAAATAGGACGTTGGTAGCAATTAACTTGGTTTAACAAAATATAGCAGTCAGTCTGGGTAAATGCATGATACATGTTTTCCTGGTGTTTTAATTGTCATCATGGGTAGTCTTGACAAAATTTGTGCATCAATCTATTTATAATTCTGGTTATTTAGAATTAAGTATGTTTGCATTTTTAATTTTCATTATGGTTCTTACTCCACACTGTTATATTGGAAAAACTAGGGAATTAAAGCTGTAAGTCTAACAACAGACTATCTCAAAGATAAAAATGACAATATTAGTATATGTTTCTTTACATTTTGTGGTTTTATCTAATATCTATGAACACTTCTACAATAAGAAAATATTAAAGAAAAGAATCTAGGAGTTCTAAATACTTCCATTATGGTTCTTACTCCACACTGTTATATTGGAAAAACTAGGGAATTAAAGCTGTAAGTCTAACAACAGACTATCTCAAAGATAAAAATGACAATATTAGTATATGTTTCTTTACATTTTGTGGTTTTATCTAATATCTATGAACACTTCTACAATAAGAAAATATTAAAGAAAAGAATCTAGGAGTTCTAAATACTTCCAGGATACGAAAATTCACAGTCACCAAATAGTAATGCTAACAAAGAAAAGCACATGTAACTAATATGCCAGTCTTTAATGTATCATTCACCAGTCTAGATGTGTCTAAAGCTTCAAAGTTCCATGTTAGAATCCAAGAGAAAGGCAAAATTACAGAAAGGCTCAGAGCTCAAATACAGTGGTTTCCAACTATTTATCAATAATGCTCACTAAACTGGATGAAAAAACAAGCAATATTAATTTGAATGGCATCATTAATTAGTTAGAGTTTTATGAGGAGAAACAGATCAGTAAGAAGAAATTGATTATCCTTAATGTTTTTATAATGTGTATATGTGTGTGTGTATGTACATGTGTATATGCTACATGTGTGCAGGTACCCACAGAGGCCAGAAGAGGGTGTCAGATCCTCTAAAGCTGAAGTTACAGGCAGTTGTGAGGCACCTGATATGAGTTCTGGGAACTAAACTACAGTTCTCTGGAAAAACAGCAAATGCTCTTAATCACTAAGTCATCTCTCCAGCATCAAACCCAGAATTTTTAAATCAAAATGGTCCTTAGCCTACATGTTTTAGATCCACACAACATAAACACAATCACCTATGGATACTAGTCATGAGTGATCTAATAGAAAATAAATTTTTCTCTTGCTTTTAATAAAATTTTATTCAAAACTTCCCCCAAAGTTCCTTTTTCAATTAGAAATGTGTTTAATTATTTTTCTTAAATTACAGAATTGCAGTAGTGAGATACAACATTACAGCAATGCCTGAATAAGGATGGATGGACTGATTCTTAGCACACATTTGAAACAAAAGTAGGATCCAAACTATTCTGAGAACTTGTTTCTTCAGATATCTCCCCTACAAAGGCCTTGGATTCTCTATACTGAAACCGTATATCCAGCATGAAGTGGAGAAAGGAAAGAGGAACTGTCTTTTCAGAGAATTATATCCTTTCTGACCCCTACTGATATACAACAGCACAAAAAACCACAAACAGATGACATCAATCTAATCCCACCCATTGTTTACAACATAAATGGGATAATTTGATGCATCTAAGGAATATTCTGCTGCTTGTAGCTCTTGATTATTTACATAACATACATGCACACATAGTACATTATTCAGGGTAAAAGGCAAGTAAGGATCATGAGGGATTAAATCTATATCTTTAGATTACAAGAGGAGCCCTAGGCCTAGTAAACTTGCTTACACTGTAAACATGCTCAGATAATGTCCTAGAAGTCATTCCCACACAGAATTATTGAATGGTAATCAGAAAAAAATGCAGAAAAACAAAAGAAACAAATGAAGAAATTAAATAATATTCAAAATTCTGACTATAAATTCAGAGACAACTGATAGCCAAAAATAAAACATTGATTCTAGATTCTATAATTTGAGCATTTAGTAATATTTTAAAACTTTCTTTGCTATAAACTATGTAGCTTATAAATGAGTTATATTTAAGACGTAAGTTTTCCCAATCAGACCAGTTTTATTTAATCCATCAATCTTGACAGTTCTCATCATTATCATTGTTTTATTTTCCTCACAGACATAACTGACATCATCTGAAAATTATCATTCAAAGGCATTTTACATATGTAAGTTGGCTCTAAACATTTTTATTTTAGGAATATTAGTTATTCTCTGATGGGTTCTTTGTATGTATATTATCAAGGCATTTTTTAAAAAAAAACACATTTCAATAGCAAATGATCTTGAATAAATTCATATTACTATTTGTCACTTTATTGGCAGAAAATATGATATTTTGAAATACTAAAATGTATTTTTACTTACATTTTTTCTTTGGAGGAGAATTAAGTACATGTAAGCAGTGAAATCCCATTTTCTTTAATTTAAAATTATCAATTGGTGTTGTTCTTGAAACATTCCAAATTCGTAAAACACCCACTTGAGAATCTAGTCAGATCATCAGAAATGCAAATGTTAAAAAAATTGTCTGAGACTAAATTTCCCATTATAGAAATGGCAACAAATACTTCAAGTTATCAGACGTTCAGCAGTAATCATTGATATTCTCTACATGTTAATGAAACAAAGAAATTCCTGAGGTGCTGCTCAGCTTTTGACGCTTTGGCGTGTTTATTTTTATTTTCATTATTCTATTACAAGCCCTCTCATGGGATTAGAAACTGAGACCACCCTAGCAGCTTCCCATGTGAAAGTCTTTATAACAATAGTGATCACAAGGACACTCTATCAACATACACTTACTCTAAGAAAATGTCAGGCAAAAGAAACTATTCCCTTCTAACAATAAGCAATCCCTCCTATACTGATGAATCTGTCAACTTCTCATTGTCCATTTTCAGTCAAATATGTCAAATTCCTTCTCTCCCCTAAATCCCTCTTTGATAGCTGTCTTGGAGAATAGTCTGGCCTTGTCTCAAATAATCAAACATATAATCTCCAAATGACCCATCAATTTCATATCAAGTACTTATGAATCAACAGAATTCTATGTCCACACAAGCAGTTATACATCAGTGCTCAACAATATTATTCATAATAGCATAAAAATACTAACAGAATAAATATCTGTAAATGATAAAATCTGGCAAATCCTATAATGGAATATTATCATCCACAGAAAGGACTATATAAGTGATTCATGCTAAAACACAGACGAGTTTTGAAAACACTATACTAAGTGAAAGAGCACAACACAAAAGACCATGTTTGGAATGATTCCATGAAACATCCAAGGAGGCAATTTGGAAACAAAAAGTAGGTTGGCAGTTCCTGCATGCGCATGTCCTTTCCAGGGGCTGAGGAACAGGAATAGTAGAAGTTGGTTATTAACAGAGTTTGGAGAGAAATTATGAGATATTCAAATTAGATGATGGTGTTGGCTGTAAAATTTTGTGAATGCACAAGAAACCACTAAGCTGAACCATACATACATACATACATACATACACACACACATACACATATATAATATATAATAAAGTTCATGATATTGGGCAGGAGGTAGTAGGAGATGCAAATGGGGCAGGAAATCTAAATTCAGTTAAAATATATTGTATGAAATAAATGTTTAATGTCTACCATTCATTAAATCCCATTAATTTAAGGGCTATTAAGATACATAAATTAGGAACCCATTTGTTTTTGTGTTTCAATAAATATCAAATAAGTAAAGAATTCCACTAAAAATTGAAATGAAAAACAATATTATTTTATGCTAAGTAAATACAATTTTTAGGGGATAGAGAGATTTCTCAGTGGTTGAGAAACAGCTGTCTTGCAGAGGACACAGGTTCAGTTCCCAGCACCTTTATGGCAGCTAACAACTGTCTGTAACTCCAGTTCCAGCGGATCTGACGCCCTCCTCTGACCTCCATGGACATTGCAGGATGCAGGTGCAATTACATTCATTCAGGCAATATCATGGTGAAATAGATTATGAAGCAATTGTTAAGCTTTCAGATGGCTTTAATGGAGCAGACCTGAGAAATGTCTGTACTGCAGCAGGTATGTTTGCAATTTGTGCTGATCATGACTTTGTAGTTCAGGAAAGCTTCATGAAAGCAGTTAGAAAAGTTGCTGATTCAAGAAGCTACAGTTTAAATTGGACTACAAACCTATGTAATTTACTATGAAGTTTTGATGACTGCATCACAGACATTGGTTTAATGTAAAAATAAAAGAAAATAATGTAAAAATAAATGAATAAAGTATTTTTAAGTGTAGTTTTCATCCAGCAGCTGAGTATGTTCTTTCTTCAAAGCCCTCTCTCTCTGAATCTAATTAAATTCCTAAGTTCTCCCAATTCCCAGACTTCATCATTACTTACCTTGGCAACTTCTCCAGGAAGGAGCAAGCATCCTTTGAACCCATGGAATTAAATACTATTTTCATTTTTAACCTAGGTTGAAAACATTTAGGACCACCTTAGCATGCCTGGTGATAAGATGTCAAAATTATTAGTGAGGGTAATGGGATTCCTATCTGAGCAAGTTTTTCTAGACAGTACCTTCCTTCACTAAGTTCTTGTATCTGAAATTCAACTATTTGTCATTTGTGCACATATAAACAAGGCACATGTGCACATACAGTATACTACAATGTATTTCCATAAACAGGGAACACTGTGATTTAACTGCATTTTAATTTCTAATTCCAATGACATGCTATGTATATTAGGCATGTATTATAATAAGTATTTGAGATGTTAATTAATAAGATTCACAAAAATTAACCAAGTACAGTTTCTTTAGTTCATTTAAAGAATGAATATACATGTATTTGAAACTTTGGGGAGTATGGATACAGTTACCTCCAGTTATAAACATGCCAGGAGCACTCGGAACCCAGGCTAAGCACTGCACAGACACTGCTGCGCTGGGAAAATTGAACGTTGTTATGCAATAAACTGATTCAGAATCCACTAGACGAATTCCATAGTGCAAATTAGCCACAAGAAGATAATCAGTGGATAGTGGGTCCCACTCTAGGGCTGTAACTGGATCCTCTTCATCTGTTCCTTCAAGAGATTCGGGCCTCAGAACATGCTTCTGATTTTTATTACCTATTTCATACAAAGAAAATTATTTTTTAAAAAAGTCTTAAAAGGTCATTAACTTGTTTTCTTCTTATATGTCACCTATCTTTGAGAGTTTATCAAAATGACTCTGAAATTCTTATGTAGAAGCCATAATTGACATATGAATGAAGGAGATTAGACTGTCCTAATGAAGAAAATCAGTTAACTCCTTTGCTTTGACAATCGGTGGTGCTTTAAGTATTCCTCCTATTTGTTACTGAAAAACTGTAAGAATAAAAAGATATGCTTGATCTTATCAGCAAGGAATTCCACGTATTTATGACAGCACAGGAAGAAAGAAGTGCTTAAGAACTGTAGACTATAAATTGCGATTAAAAGGATAGACATTGGAGCTCTCTGCTTAGGTGCACATCCAGGTTCCACCACTTACTAACTTTGTGCCCCTGGGCAAGGCACAGAATCTCCATGTGCCTAAGTTTCTTTGGTTTTGTAAGAGAGGAATTAATATTTATTTCACAGAGCTTTGAAAAAGGTTACAGGAGTAGTTCATTAAAGTGCTTAGAACAGTGAGGCGTATTATATACAACATTATTAGTATTTACAAATAATTCTCGGTCGACAGTTGCCATGATTCATACCTGAAAGTCTAAACAGATGATAGGTAGATAGATGAAAGATAGAGATAGATGATAGATATAGATAGGTAGATGATAGATAGATAGATAGATGATAGATGAAAAATAGATGATTGATAGATAGATGATGATAGGTAGATGATAGATAATATAGATTAGACAGATAGATGATAGATGATAGATAGATGATAGACAGATAGATGATAGATAGAAAGAAAGACAGATAATAAATAGATGATAGGTAAATGAAATAAAGGATTATCACACAATCCTTTTTGTTGTCACAAACTAAATATATAGCTAGTGACAATGAGTAAACAAGTATTACTGATGAATCACTTGGGAACTATACTGAACAATTCCTTTCATTCTCAAAAGAGAAGCAATGATGCAATAAATGTAGACACTACAAACTTACAAAAAGTATATATCAGTCTTAAGTACTATGAACTTCAAAGGATATTTTTTTAAACACACTGTTACAGGCAGTTGGGAGATGGCTCAGGGGTAAAGTACTTGCATTGCAAGAATGAGGACCTGCATTTAACTCCTAGAAACCACGAAAAATGCTGAGCATGATGCCACATGCTTAGAATCCCAGCATTGTGGAAGCAGAGACGGGTAAAATCCTGGAGATTATTGGCCAGCCAATTTAGCCTAATGGGCAAGGTCTAAGCCAATGAGACACCTGTTCCAAAACTAAAGGGGACAAAAGTATTGAAGAATGATACACGGGAATGTCCACTGTCCTTCATACATACATGTGTACATGCACCTCCACACACATGTGTATCTGCACATGCAAAAATGCATACATAAACACACATGTGAAAGATATCATCGCTCTTGTCTGTGGGACAGTTCAATTACTGAAAGCCTGAGGACCCGAGTTTGTTCCACAGAATCCAATTAAACAAGCTGGGCAAGGGGGCACCTGCTTATTTGTAATCCCAGCACTAGTGAGGTAGAGGTAGGCAGATTCCTGGGGTTGGAGCCAGTCAGCCCAGCTTAATGGGCAAGCTTCAGGCCAATGAGAGGACCTTTCTTGAACGAAAGGACAATGGTACTGAGGGACAACACCCAAGATGTGTTCTTTCTTTCTCTCTCTCTCCCTCCCCCATACTTACGTACATAGGCTCTCTCTCTCTCTCTCTCTCTCTCTCTCTCTCTCTCTCCCTCCCCCATACTTACGTACGTAGGAACACAGACTTCCATATTGGGGAAGAGCAATTAAGTAGGATGCCTCATATTGACTTTTGACCACCATATGCAGGTGGGGACCTGCACACACACACACACACACACACACACACACACACACACACACCATACCCTGGAAGAAAGATTTGTTTGTCTTTTCTTTAGCAAAATAGCTAAATTGGTATTTGAGATGGTAAAAAGAGATGCACATAATAACGATAAAGTTGAAGAAGGTAATAAATGACATATTAGCTTAAAAATTTATTAGCTGTTTCTTAAGTAATTTACGTATTTGCTAGTACCAGTTAAATTTTGTGGTTTTTAAAATAGTCCGGCAGGTAAAAAATCAAAATAACATCAAAACAAAGTAGGAGAATTTAGGATGTGAATATTATCAGCCTGTTGTTATCTATAACTTTCAAATTGAGAAACAAACAATTAGGTTATCCCCGAAAAAAAAGAAAAAGAAACAAAAATAACAAAAACCAAAAATGCAAAGGCCAAAACCTCACATTGTTTTTAGTAAGTTTATGATTTTGTGTTGGGCCTCATTAATAGCTACCGTCAGCCAAATGTAGACACATGCAGACCACAGGCCTTGGGTGGACGTGGCTGAATCATCCTGTTTTAAATTCCCATGCTTATAGTCAAAACAAGAGCTATATTAATCACCTATTTTCTGTTTTCAGTTCTGATATTTTTATTGTGAAAGTAAAAAAGAAACCATATATCTATAAATTTTTGTAGCCAGTTATCCAAAAAGTATATAGGTTATTAACGTTATGCTTTATTTTACAAAATCAAGGCTTCATTTGTTGTCAGATATGGAGTGAAGCAAATGTTTGACAACTTCTGTATTAAAAACAAATAGTAGGGCAAGGAAAAGTGGGATTGAAAAGTTGAGAGTAATATATAAATAGTCATGCAGCTGTTAAAATTTTGACTTTGAGACTAGATGACTAGATAAAAAAAGTAAAGAAACCATGCAATGTTAGACAATTCACAATGTTCACAGGAAACAAAATAAAAAGAACAAAATACATTAGTTGGAAAGCTTTTCCAATTCAAATTTTTAATTAATTTCAGAAAAATTGAATGCAAGATACTTTGTAAAAGGTTAATCTTGTTTTAAAAGAGTGATTTTTATCCATTTAGTCAATAATCACATCTACCAACAAATTCCAGATGGCTGAAAAGATGTATTGTGATTCCCAAAGTGAACAGTATTTATTTATGAGATGAGAGCAACTAAGGTAATCTTTAGTGTTTTTAATCATGTTTTATTATTGCCTAAAGTTTAAAAATGAATATAAATGAATTATCAGGCTCTTTCATTCAATAAAATTAATTAACTAGTAGGAGTTCAAAGATTTATCATTCTTTTCTCTGCAAGGTATAAAGGCATTGACAAAGAACTGTGGCATCAAAATAGGTTCTTATTTTCCTTTTTTATTTTATGTGTATGAGCATATTGCCTTTGTGTATATAAATTGTGTGTAAGTACACCTGTATGATGCAATGCTAATGGAAGACAGAAGAGGGTATTAGATTACCTGGAACTGGAGTCATGGGCAGTTGTTACCTGCCATGTGGGTGCTGGGAATCCAACCTGGGTCCTCTACAAGCGCAGCCAGTGCTCTTAACCACTGAGCCAATCTCTCCAGCCCCACGACAGGGTCTGTATCAAGAGAATATCTTGTGGGGCAGTACTAAAAGCCATTATATCTCCCAGCTATAAATTCTTATTCCTTTGAGTTATTTTCTTAGTAAATATGCAGATAGAAAGAATTGATGTGAAAATTCCAAGCAATGAACAAATGATGGATTTAGGTTAATTCAAAGAACAAACTGCACACTTGAGCTGAACATTATTATAATGCCTACAATTAAAAGTTACTTCAGATGAACTCTTGGAATCAGCACAATCATGAATAACAGTTTAACAATTTTTATGCTTAAATTAAAATTTTGTAATGTTGGACTTTTAAGCATTGCTATAATTTGGATTTGGAGTGTCCTCCAAAGGCTCAGGTATTGAAGGTTTGGTCCACAGCTTGTGGGATGTGGTGGAGCCTTTAAAAGGCAGAATGCAAGGGAGACCCTGTCTCAAAAAGACAAAAAAAAAAAAAAAAAAAAAAAAAGCAGAGCAGGTTACAATCCCACAGCTCAACACAGCTCAAAGTAGTGAGAACAATTGGTCAGAGACTGAAATCTCCCATACCCAGACTGTGAACCAAAATAAGCTTTTCTTTTTTTTTTTAAGCTATTTAATATCAGACTAAAGCATGCATGTGAATAAGAACAGATATTTGCTAAGAAAAATATAAGCGAGCTGATCAATTACTTACCAGGCTGAAAAACTGATATACTTCCATCGGCGTGACCAAATACAATTTTCCCCTTTTTTTGGGTATGCCATCTAAACATGCAGATATCTGACACAAAACTATGAGCGTCTTTGTGTAGAGATACTCCACTGTCTGGTCCTGAGATGGTCCAAATGAACAGAGGACCTTTCTGGGAAACAAATGCCACAGCATCATCTCTGTTCCAACACCAGCTGAGACAGGCAGGGATTTCTGGAAAAAAAAAAAAAAAAAAAAAAAAAACAGATACACAATAAAATGGTGGTTATAAGATTTGTAAAATTATGTGCTGTTTGCACTGTAGATTTATAAAGTAAATTAAAATACAAGAATTATTTCATTTTTTAAAAAGTCACCTTCTTACTTGGGAACCGGACTCACAAGATAAACTTAAGGACTACAGTAAATACAGTAGAGAATATCAATTGGACTCCTCCAACAATATTCAGAAATAGGTAGGGTTACTGAAAATGTGATTTTTTTTTGAAAGCTGGTGACAATTTACTTTTTATCAGTAGCATAAACCTAATACTTATTTTCCTCTAGATGGATTGTTTACTAGGGACAAAAAGAGGAATGAAATGAAAAATACACAGGTCAAATGCCACATGTGGGAGTGGAAAAATTCAATTACTACCACTTTCGCCTTTGCTTAAAGCGAATTACTAATCAGATGAGTCTAAAATATCTCAAGAAGGAATATTTAAACTAAAAATGTTCTCAATTTTTAAATACAGTATCAAAGCTTTCCTTCTTCAAATTAGGAATATGTTTAGAAATAGCATGGGAAATGCTATTTCCCTTGCTATAATCCCTTGGAAAAGTTCAAAGGGAAAAGATATAAAATTTACCCATTACCACATCATTTAATTTTTCTACAAACGTTAATGAGAAAGTCCTTTTAATTGTATATCCAGTGGCACGGGATAGTGTGGCTCATTAACTAGAGATGCCTCCTTTCACAAACAGATTAGATATACACAGGATCTGATGGTTATTACTTGACAAAGCTAGGTAACAATACGTTGTATAAACAATACTGCTGAATCAGCATTTAAGTTTTATTAGTCAAACACGGGTTGAAAAAGAGTCGTGTTGTGGCTTCATGAGAGCAATTTTTTGAAGCAATTTAAATTTATTTATTTTGAAATGCAAATTGAATTTTAAGCAGTTTCTTGTGCAATTTTTAAAAAATATCTTATTTATTATTATGCTTATTTTATGTTATGAGTGTATTGCCTGCAGGTGCGTAAGTTCACCTGTGTCATGTAATGCCCATGGAGGTCAGAAGAAGGCTTCAGATTCCCTGGAACTGGAGTTACAGAGGGTTGTTAGCCACCACGTGAGTGCTGGGAATCCAACCTGGGTCCTCTGCAACAGCAGTCAGTGCTCTCAAGAGCTGAGCCATCACTCCAGCCCCGTTTCTTGCGCAGTTTAAGATTATCCACACAAATGGGCTGGAAAGAAGGCTCAGCAGTTAAAAGCATTGACTGCTCGTGGGGAGAACTCTGGTTCGATTCCCGCAGCTAACAACTATCCATAACTCCATTTCCAGGGGATCCAATGTCCTCTTCCGACCTCCGGAGGTATTGCAGGACACGGGTGCACTTACATGCATGCAGGCAATACACTCATACATATAAAAAACAAATAAAATTTAAAAGAAAAGATTACTCACACAAAAAATGTAGCTAAAGTATTGGGAAAATGTATTTTTTAACATAACACTGGAGTCATATGTAGACTTTTAACTGGCAGGGAAACAGGTTCAGAAAACATGGGGAGATATGAAAAATCTTGGCTGAAGTTACAAATGACTGCTTATATATAATTGTTTATATATCAGAAGGAATTTAGATTTTTCTCACTGATGTATGAAAAACCAAAAGAAAAGCTACTAACTATATTAATAAAAATTCACTGTTAGTTTTACTCTAAAAGTATTTTTCTCAGATGTTAGAGCAAACTTTGCTCACTGCCTAGTAACTGATTATTGTTGTGATAAACGTTCTACATGAATTTAAAAATAAAATTCACTTTTTGCAGTTGAAAAGTAATTACAAAAATACTTTAAAATTATAGTTGAGTAACAAAACAAAACAATGTAGTTTATGGATTGTTTTGTCATTTTAATGACCCAAATTGAAAATATACTATATACAGTAAATATTGCTAAAAGTTCCAAAAGCATTATTATTATTATTTAAGAAAATCTTAAGATAAATGTGTATGAATTGCCAATATTGTGACTACATGTTAAATTTTGAACAAAAGTAAACTATTTTAATGGTAATCTGTCAGTTTTCTATTTAAAAGTTATTTTTATTATTATTAAAGAAACTGAATATGGACATTATATCTAAAAAAAAAAAAAACCTTACAAGATAATTATTAATCAACAAACTACACTTGATACTCAAAACTAAAGTGAATCATTATAATATTATAATAAAATGAT